TACTTGATCGTCGAATAATATGTGTGTAGGGACTGTAAACATATATATATATATATATATGTTAAATAGTTGTATTATCGTAGGATTAACGGCATTAGTACGTATTGTGATATGTTGATCCCACTTGTTAATGTATTTCCTTTATGCACTTATCTTCAATTTGGTTGTTTTGGGTGCAGGGTTAACGGATTTTCTGACACGCCAATTATGTGTATTGATGTGTTTATGGAAAAAGCGCAGCAAGGCAAAACAAACCTCAAAGACCGTATTGTTTTATCTAACAACCCCGAAGACTCCTCTCCCTGTGCAGTTCTCTTTGCGTCGTATTCTCTGAGCGCAGCCAGCAGAAATGATGTTGTTCTTCCGAATTTGTATTTCGTTTTTAGTGCGGGTAAGCATATCAGTGCAGGCTTTTACTCTAGAAGTAGAGGTTGCCTCGATTTATGCAATGTAATGAGCACACACGACGAGTAGTATGCTAGCAAAAGAGCAAACCACCGTGCTGCCGTTGCAGAGGCGTATAGGTATTTAACTCACCCGCGCAAATCGTCATGCAAGCAAAAAAGGCATCTACTAAACATTGGTGCAATGTACAAACAAACAACAGACATTGCACAAGCATAGAAAGCGCATAGTAGGCATAGCAGAGCTGACTGTAAACAAATCATTACACAACCGCAAAGAACATCGACTAAAAATGTTCATCTATAAACAAACCCATACACGAAAACGACCAGTCAAACACATCGATTTGATCTACAGACAAGTCACTACGCAAGCACAAAGAGCATCTATTGGCCCAATCTATCCAAATAAGCAAAGAATGGAAATGATGAAGTACAAAATTCTTGTTGCATTTTCTTTTGGCAACCCAACAAACACAATCAAAGGAATGCAGTGGCTTAAAACGACGTAGTTCGTCGTTTCCATTTTTGTGTCTTGTCTCTTGCTTTCGATTGGCTAGACGAAGACAGACGAAGAGAATACGCTTTAAAGGGAAGCATCACGCAAGTGTTTGCCTCAAAATCAACAAAATGGGCCCTAAACGCAAAGTTTCCTTTATCGCTTTTAAGCAAAGCACGGATGTTCAAACAACATCAGCAGAATCAAGGAAAGTCCCTTGTCAAATGAAGCGCAACGCATTTTGCAATGCAAAAGCAGGATATTGGTGAGTGCATTGCTATTAGCCTTATCGTTGTACCACCATTATAACTATACTAACGCTATTATTAAAACAGACATTTTGATGGCGACAATATTATTATTGTTAGGCCCACCGGTTTAACTGGTCTACCAGCTGTTGCTTCCGGCTGATCATTATATGGCCTTTGCGTATTTCCGCTTGGTGCTGAGCTCAGAAGAATTCATTAAGGTGTATTTTATATGTAATCACCTTTTTGGTTTAAAATATGTAAGTCATATGCAGATTCATATACGCATAAGAAGTAATAGATTAGTCTGTGCTCATACACGTATATGTATACATGTTTGTATGTGTATATGCCTGCATTCCATTCTAGGGATGGTATCTCTATATACGCGTCTTGCCTGATCCAGGAGATTTTCTTTTGCATTTATTTCTTCATTAAGGCCTTTCATTTCTTCTTCTGCTGCTGCTATTTGTGCTTTGACGCCGATGCTCTCGACGCTCAGCTGAGCCGCCTCGAATTCCACTTTGACTATTTCTTCTTCCTGCTTTTCACAGGCCTGCAGCAGCGTCTTTGTCTCCTGAATGCAAGAACAAGGACACAGTCCACTAGGAGTGGAAAAAAATAAATAAATAAATAGTCAACTAGAACAATTATTTAGTAGACAATTGTAATTAATTGTTGCAGACAAACAGGAACTGACTACTTATTATGCCTGCGAAGGCCATTCAACATATGGACCCATCTATTTACGGCATAAGCTGTAGAAAGGAGACAAATTCTGCTTGCACGTTTGTTCGTATATCGGTTACACGCAAGCTTTGCCCTCTTAGTTTGTTTATAGGTTTGACGTCGGCAACGCATTTGCATCCTTTTTGTTGGATCGTTGCGCAGCTAGTCTATCATATATATATATATATATATATGTGTGTGTGTGTGTGTGCGTCTGTGTGTGTGTGTGTGTATGTGTGTGTTTGTGTGCGTTTATTCGCATCTACACTTCAAGGGTAGGAAATAAATGCAAACAAAAGAACAATACTTCCAAGGCTTCATCTGCCCGCCTTGTGCGTTGCTTTTCATGTGTTCTAATGTGACTATCTTTCCATTCTTGGTATACAGTTGCCATCTAGACGCAAAGAAATAGTAGGGAAAGGGCTTTGCACCCTTGGATATAATCAGGCGTATGATGTTCATACAGTTACACTCCATCCTTGTCTGTATTTGTTGGTTGTATTATGCTGAGGTGCATGCATGTTAATCCATCTCTTGTTTGCGTATGATTTGAGTGCATGATAATTTATTTCCCTCTGTATTTGTCTGTTTTGTCCTTATGCCCCTCCTGCTTCTACCCCGCACGCATAAAGGTGTTTGTAGAAACGTATGCAAGCAGTTCACATATGCATATATGAACGTATACGCAGGTAAATGCATATATGTACATATACATGTATGAAGATACATGTGTACGTATATATACATATTTATATACGTATATAGGTATCCATGCATTTTCCCTTTTATGAATAGTATACATAGATGGATATATACGTGAATTTCAAACTTGATAGACGTAAACCAATGTATGTTTTGGTTTTGAAAATGGGGCTGTGGCTGTAAGTGCACTTCTGTGGGTGAAACAGTTCTTTAGGTAGGCGGTTCCTAAAGGCAGACTCGGAGGTTTATTTACATGTTTATGCAGAATTACATCTGCACGTACTGAACTAACCACAGCAAAGGAAAAACAAACAATCAGCATATAAAGCTAGTGCAACAATGTTGAGTGTACCTATCTGCGTAAACCATATGGCGGGTTGCTTGCTGTACTTGTACAAAGACCCTTACTATGAAGCTATATATATATATATATATATTATATACATATATATATATATGGGCATATATAAAATTTCTAAGCATACACACGAAACAATGTTCGCCTTAATTCATTTAAATGCGCACTTTTACATTTTATCTGTTTTTGTTACACATATATACGATTTCCTTTTAATTCGTCTCTACAGCAGCAGATCCAGCAATGTAAACTGCCTCATCGTCCCCTTTTCTTTCTTGCCTTATGATGCGTATTGCCCATGCGCGTGATGGAGGCCTGATTGGCTAAAGCTTCAAAAATTTGATTCGTAATTAAATTGCACTCCTGAACTGACTGCTGAACTTCGCGAATCACCGCCTTAGCATCGCGCACAAGCACACAAGCGCACGCGGAAAAAGCAGGGATTAAGCCTTATCCTTTTTGCTTTGAAAATATTTTTATTTTGTGTACTGCATATATCAAATACACTATTTTTTACCTGTTCTATACACATAGAGCAACAGTAGGTGTTTGGGTTATAGCGTTGGCAATTTGATGTTTGCTTGGATTTCAGCTGGGGAGGGCTGAACGGTCTACCGTTTTCTTTGCATGCGTCACTTTAATGTGTAGGTCTGAAAGACGGTGCTAATTATATGTTTGGTGTTGTGTTCAAAGTTTGGGAGCGATGATTTTGCGTTTAGCCTTTTGGGCTCAGTTGCTACAGCTGTCGCCTTCCTCTGCAAATCTAGTGCAAACTAGATTGATCTAGTACAAACACTCGACACCACCTGGCACAGGCAGCTCGCGTGCATGCATGCATGCATGCATTCCGAGCGCCCGTAGAATGCGTTTGTTAATAGGTGTAATATGACTACTACAATGCAACAAATGCATTTGGAACAGCACTACAAATAAAGTTCAGAGCGTCGAACCTCTCTCTGGCTGGAAAGCGAGGCAGCCAAGTCTTCTGTCTTTTTTGCGTCTTCCTCTGCAAGCTTCAGCGAGCTGGCGAGGAGAGAAATCTGCTGCTGCATTTGTTTTTGTGTGTTTTGTGCGTTGTCTATTTGAACTTTTATGCCTTCAAGTTGCATGCCAGTTGAATTGCGTTGCAAGGTTAGGTGTTCGTTCTCCTCCTGCAGGTCGCGTAGAGTTCGCTGCAAATGCAGAAAACGAAAACAAAACACCAACAAATTAGACAAGCGCGACTTTCGATTTCATTAACTGCAGATGTAAACAAGTCAACAAGATAAGAAAAGGCATTAAGATGCATGATTGTTGACATCTGTATGACTACGTCACCCCTGTGTGGCTTTGAAAGAAGCAAAACAAATGTAAAATGCTGCAGTTTACACGAAAGCCCGTTGGGCTCCTGGAAGTCGCGCTTCAAGAAAACCAGAACGAGAGACAACCAGGACAAAGACAGAACCCAAGCAAAAACGAAGTAAGCGAAAACGCGTAAGGCCAGTTGTGTTAAAACGATTGTCAAAGCCTCGTTGAGAAACAAGCTTGGTGGGTAAGGAGAAACAGGCGCATATATACATATTAGCATGCATTTATACTTATATTATATCTATATTGTGCATATTAGGTAATATTATATGCATATCAAACAACCCCCAGAAAATGCACCCCTTCTCAGAAGCAGACGGAGAATGATGCAAGCGAGAACAAAGCAATTAATCAATTTATTCAAGAAATGAAACTCAACAGTAGCGAACAATCAGGTCATCTGGTCCTGATGCCTGCAATAGGAGACGCATAGATGCTGCACAAATAAGTACAGCTAAAGACGCAAAAAAACATTTACGTATGTAGCACGCAACGGCTTCTTCCTCATATGCCTGACACGGCCAAGAGATGTACAATGAAGCATAGGGAAAAGCGTATGATAGGCGCAAAAGCGAACACGGAAGTTATGCATATATATATATATATATATATATATA